TAATCAAATTACTTCACTCTTTCCTTCTTATAGAAGCAACACATACAACTTTTTGATTTGCCTTCTTTTCTTATGATTTCTGTTTTCTTGTTCCTCATGAGACTTTTGTGTATGTATATCTAACTATCCTACCCATTGATGGATTTTACATTCATCAGGAAGGGTTCGAGCCCACGGGTTGTTGATAGGAACCTTATTCGTCTCTGTTCGAAATTCTGGACTACCGGAAGGGATGATCCAACATCTTTTACATTAAACCCGTGTTTTTCATTGTTCCCTCAGTTTGTTCAACCTGCGGCGGTCCAATTTGTGCAGGTAATTGTGACTCTTCAACTTTTCGTTCTTTTACCTCTTCATTTCAAACTTTTATATTGTGTAATATAAATCTTATTTTCCCTATTTTTTTTCTTGTATTTTTGTGGCAGGTTTTTACAATAGTCCAGATGAGACAGCCTATTTTCGCATGTTGTTAAACAGGGAGATAATAACAAATGCTGCTTTCATGATTCAACCATCACTAATATCATATTCGTTCAATTCGCTGCCCACACCAGCTTTGCTGGATGTGGCTTCCATATCAGCTGATCGTATCCTCTTGCTGGATTCTTATTTCAGTGTTAGTTATTTCCATGGGATGACAATAGCTCAGTGGCGAAGCATGGGTTACCAGAGTCAGGCTGAACACCAGGTATGTGCTCATATAAGCCATATTCTCTCACCGAAAAGTTATGCGAAAATCCCACCAAAATGATGTGGCAAGTACTTGGAACATTTTTTCAATGAATGCTTATGACCATATACTGCTTGACCTATGTTTATGTTGGGTCCATGAAAGCATTAGGTAGCTGGCCCCAAAATGACGTGCTACCCTTGGGTAGAACACCTTGATATTGTAAAGATGCAATCAAATTGATTTCTTTGGTATACCCACTTCCGCCTTCGAGGGGAGTGCTTCCTTGGTCTGCATGAGTAGTAATGAAATGATTATTAGATCAAAACCTAAGACAAAGCAAAATGGTCAACTCTTCAAGGAATTAGTTGCCCCAAAATAAATCTCACTCCTAAGTCCATTTCTTAATTCAGGTGTAGAGAAATCTTGATATGAATTGACCAAGAACAACTGATCTGGGAAAGAAACTGTCTGCTAAACTTTGCTTTGCATATGTTGGACCATTTTGAAATTTGCTACATGCTACTGTTCTAGTGGATTACCAAGCTGATTTTATTGTCATAATATATTGTATTCAGAAACTCTTTTTTAATCTCATCTTATTTTTTATCCAATGAAGCTTCAAGCCTTTTTGATATTTGCTATGGAAGTGAGCTATGTTTTCAGAAAAGAAAAATCAATCTTCTTATTTAATGAGTTACAGCTCTCTTTCCTTCTTATAGAAGAACACATACAACTTTTTGATTGCCTTCTTTTCTTATGATTTCTGTTTTCTTGTTCCTCATGAGACTTTTGTGTATGTATATCTAACTTTCCTACCCATTGATGGATTTTACATTCATCAGGAAGGGTTCGATGCCACACGGTGGTTGGATAGGAACCTTATTCGTCTCTGTTCGAAATTCGGTGACTACCGGAAGGATGATCCAACATCTTTTACATTAAACCCGTGTTTTTCATTGTTCCCTCAGTTTATGTTCAACCTGCGGCGGTCGCAATTTGTGCAGGTAATTGTGACTTCTAACTTTTCGTTCTTTTACCTCTTCAATTTCAAACTTTTATATTGTGTAATATAAATCTTATTTTCCCTATTTTTTTTCTTGTATTTTTTGTGGCAGGTTTTTAACAATAGTCCAGATGAGACAGCCTATTTTCGCATGTTGTTAAACAGGGAGAATATAACAAATGCTGCTGTCATGATTCAACCATCACTAATATCATATTCGTTCAATTCGCTGCCCACACCAGCTTTGCTGGATGTGGCTTCCATATCAGCTGATCGTATCCTCTTGCTGGATTCTTATTTCAGTGTAGTTATTTTCCATGGGATGACAATAGCTCAGTGGCGAAGCATGGGTTACCAGAGTCAGGCTGAACACCAGGTATGTGCTCATTATAGCCATATTCTCTCACCGAAAAGTTATGCGGAAATCCCACCAAAATGATGTGGCAAGTACTTGGAACATTTTTCAATGAATGCTTATGACCATATACTCTTGACCTATGTTTATGTTGGGTCCATGAAAGCATTAGGTAAGCTGGCCCCAAAATGACGTGCTACCCTTGGGTAGAACACCTTGATATTGTAAAGATGCAATCAAATTGATTTCTTTGGTATACCCACTTCCGCCTTCGAGGGGAGTGCTTCCTTGGTCTGCATGAGTAGTAATGAAATGATTATTAGATCAAACCTAAGACAAAGCAAAATGGGTCAACTCTTCAAGGAATTAGTTGCCCCAAATTAAATCTCACTCCTAAGTCCATTCTCTTAATTCAGGTGTAGAGAAATCTTGATATGAATTGACCAAGAACAACTGATCTGGGAAAGAAACTTGTCTGCTAAACTTTGCTTTGCATATGTTGGACCATTTGAAATTTGCTACATGCTACTGTTCTAGTGGATTACCAAGCTGATTTTATTGTCATAATATATTGTATTCAGAAACTGCTTTTTTAATCCATTCATTTATTTATTTTTATCCAATGAAGCTTCAAGCCTTTTTGGATATTTGCTATGGAAGTGAGCTATGTTTTCAGAAAAGAAAAATCAATTCTTCTTATTTAATGAGTTACAGCTTTTCCCCCCTTACAGGCATTTGCACAGTTATTGCAAGCTCCTCAGGATGATGCTCAAATGATCATCCGGGAACGTTTTCCTGTCCCAAGATTGGTCATCTGTGATCAACACGGTTCCCAGGTCATAATTGTTGCCTTTACTTCAGATTTTTCCTAATAATGATATATTTTATGCATTTGCATGTTTATGTGAGTGAAATATCTGTAATCTACTTGGGAATCTGAGGTGGTGATATGCAGCACTGACTTTGCTGATCCCAAGGGTCCGTTTGGTTAGATGTGGATTTCAAATCAAGGGATTTTTAGGTTAAATGGATAAAAAAAAAAAAATGGAAGAAGATATGTATATTTTACCAGGATCCTCGTAGCCAGAAAGATCATTCTTAGCATGATTTCAAATAACTAGTTTTATATAGTTATTTCAAATCCGTCTTGATAAAGCTATTTAACTCAATTTTGAAATTCAAAAGTAAACTATCATATTTAAATTGGAGTTATTGCCTTGAACAATTAAAGTCAAATCCCTTGACTTGAAATCCACATTTATCGAAACGGAAGAGTTACTGTAGAAGCTCAGCTTGGATTTGAAGGGCTATCCCTTAGTTTATAAAGTCAAAGTTTTCTTTTTGTCTTGTTTTTTGTTCTGTTCTGTTCTTTTTGTCTTGTTTTTTTGAAGGCAAGGCCTCCGGATAGGCATTTTACTACACATGAAGCAAGATATAAACCCCAAGGCGGAAGTGGTAACCAAATTGGTTTTTCTTATGCAAATTTAAAAAAATAATAAATGAAAATGAGTGAGATAGAGGAAAGATAAATATCAAATAAAGTGGAAAGTTTATATACATTTTTTTGGGGACAAATCTACTGGAATATTTAAACAAAAATCATGTATCTTATGTATGATCTTTGATTTCTCTATGAATGTTGTAATTGTGCACAAACTGCTAAAATAGCCAAAACAGGTTAATGTAACTAAAGATAAGAAAAAGTCATATAAATTGAACAACTAGCAAGAGTGCAGCTTTGATCAAATAAAATTTCATGGAAAACTAATCGAGGTCAAAAAAACTATTAAAGGGCGAATCTGGCTTCACTGCTGATTTTGCTGGCTTCTTCAGGTTATAGTTGGTTATTGGGGTGTGTCTTTCTGCTTAATTTAAAAAATAATAATAATAATAATAATTGGAGGGAGCTTTTTACGGTTTATAATTATTAGATCAATAAATTTCGCTTATAATTTTTTTTCTTGTACAATTTTAAAATTGCTTCTCAATTTTTAGCGTTAAGGGCTGCATTATCAAAGCAGTGTATTGGAAACTGAACTAAATGTGTTTATGATTTCATGACATGTTGAGCAGGCAAGATTCTTATTAGCAAAGTTGAACCCATCAGCTACGTATAGTAATGCTCATGAAATGGCAGCTGGGATGGAAATGATCTTCACAGACGATGTCAGTCTTCAAGTGTTCTTCGAGCATCTGCAGAGGCTGGCTGTGCAACCTTCTTGATACCACAAAAAGAGTTGGGAGATTTATTGTTCATATCATACATAGGTTCTTTGTAATGTGAAATTCTATCGGGATCTAAGCCTTTCTTTTCCATTGTTTCATGAGATGAGGTCGGACTGTAACATTTATTCAAACAGTAAGGAAAGCACATATCGTTGAAAGAAGAATAAGGGACACAAGGTCTGTTGAATTCTGAGTTATGGAAAGAAAGGATGAGAATGGTAGTTGAAGGGCAATCATGCTCCAGAAGCAACAGCAGCAAGGTTAGTCAGCAAGATTTTAGTTTTGATTTTTCCCCATTATATTTCTTTGTGTAAGTCACACTCAGGTTAGAAGACTTTCTGTGTATCGGAATTTTAAGTTTATATACTGGATAGAGCCTAGGGTTCTAGATTGGAAAGTTTTAGAAACTTGCTTATTGTGTGTTTTTATTTTTTCTGTTCTGAAATATATTACCAAGTCAGCCCTTCCCATTTGTGTCTCCTCATGTTGTTGCCTTGTCTTGCATTGTTGTTGCAGTCACAGTTTCGCCATATCTATTATATTATATAAAGCATACAATTCATTTGGTGTGAAAGTTGTTACCTCTTTTCTTGTCCCAATAATGCCCTTCATGTCCTGTAACTACTACCTACCACATTTAATAACTTGTTGAAAGGCCTTTTTTTTTTAAAAAAAAACTATTCAAAACTAAACTACTAAATGGTTTTCTCATTCATTAAACCACCCTTTTATCATCAAACTATCTAAAAATTTAAATATAAAATTTGTTAGTATATATATATATATATATAATGATGGAGGGGAGGTGCAAAATGAACTAAAACAATGAGGATCTTTTTGCATATATTTTAATGCAAAAGAAAAGAAAAAAAAGTGTTTTTGCTTTTTTTTTTTTAATTATTTATTTATGGTCAAGTTTGAAATAAGAGAAGAAAATACAACTAATTAAATTTGCCAATAATGTTTCTCTGCCTTAGAGCATCTCCAACGGTGAACTAAAATTTTCACCAAATTTGAGTAAAAAAAAGTTAATTTTCTCAATCTGATATGGTTTGCTCCAACTGTGCATCAAAAGGGAAGGGGCGACCGGTAAGGGCAATTTTTTTTTTTTTTTTACCTATTTGAATTTTTTTTGACCAGTTTGAACCTACCTATTTGAAAGGGAACCGGTCGATCGGTTGGTCAACCAGCCGAACAACCGGTTGGTTGACTGGTTGGCCCACCCCAACGGTAATGCACAGTGAAATGGTGAAATCTGGAGCCTGTTCTCAATTTGATGAATTTTTTGTTCCATTCTCATTTTGATACCAATTTGATGAAACCATTGGAGTTCCAAAAAGTGATTTTTTCACCAAATTTCAAATTTGATGCAAAGTTTGATGAATCGTTGGAGATGGTCTTAGTGAATTCCCAACACAAAAGGAAAAAAAGAAAGAAGGGCGGAACCAGAAAATTGTGTTCTCAACCGCAAAAATCTTACAAAAACTTGTTGTATGAGTTTGTCTCAAATTTTCAAAATTTTATTATTGCATATAAGTTGGCAATTTTTTTTTTTTATAAAATTTATTAAATTGTATAGGGTGTGTTTGGTAACGTTTACGTTTTCAGTTTATATTTACCAAAATTTTATAAACTGGTTTTTGTTAATTTTTTGTTTATTTTTAGAAAAACATAAATTACAAACGCGTTTGGTAATTGACAAAATGTCTAAAAAAATATAAAAATATAAAAAAGAGTGAGAAATGGCAAGTGGTGGCAAGTGGCGGCGGAAGACGGTGGTGGAAAGTGGTGACGGTGGGTGGTGGGTAGCTGGTGATGGTGGGTAGTGGCGGGTGGGTGGTGGTGGTGGTGGTTGGGTGGGTGATGGTGGCGGGTGGTGGTGGTGGTAGTGGGTAGGTGGGTGACGGTGGCGGGTGGTAGGTGGTAGCGAGTGGGTGGTGGTGGTGGTGGGTGGTGGGTGGCTGGTGGTGAGTGGTGGTGGCAGGTGAGTGGTGAGTGATGGTGGCAAGTAGGTGGCGGATGGTGGTGGTGGCGGGCGGTGGATGGTAGTGGGGGGTGGTGGGTGGTGGTGGTGGTGGTGGCGAGTGGGTGGCAAATGGGTGGTGGCGGATGGTGGCTGGTAGGTGGGTGGTGAGTGGTGGTGGCGGAAGACGGTGTTGGAAAATGGGTGGTGGGTGGTGGCTACTGTTGGGTGATAAAAAAAAAAAACTCAAAACTCAAAACGGAAACACATTTTTTGAGTTTATATTTTTTAGCCAAATTTATAAACTGAGACCGCTGATTTATAAATCAAAAATTTACCAAACAAGTTTTTATTTGAATTTTTAAAATTTTTATAAATATAAATAGAAAA